TCTATGCAAGAACTTTTTGCATAAAATGTTTGTGAAAGGATCCATGGATTCATTCTATGAATTTGAGAAGAACTGGGCAAGAAATATTTCTTTGTAAGAAGAAAGGCAGGTTAAAATAGTAAGTTGTTGGAGAAAAGGAATAAAAAGAGGGGGTGTGGCAGTTTGTAAGGAGTTCTTTAGAAAAAGGGTAATGGGATAGGCTGAGGCAGGTGTTGGGTGGTTCGCAAGAGATTTAATCAAAATGTTCATTGAAGCAAATGCAGTTGGAGTAATGACGGAAAAGGTACAGAGACAATATAACAGTGAATCAGTAAGGGTTAGAGGTAGTCTGTTGGGAAAAGATGTATTGATCTGTTTTACAGCTTTTACTTTTGGTTACTCTCCAACATTCCAATAGTTATAAGGAAAGGAACACACTCTTCCTTCATCAAACTTTAAATATGAAATTCTTTCATCATTGATCCTCTGTATACTTTGTAAAGAAAAGTGAGGGTAGAACTAAACAACTTGCTGGCTTTAATTGTCTCCTCCTCTCAGATTGCTTGTGTTGTCATTCTAACTCTCAAATTGAAATTTCAACAGGTTTCTGATGTGAATTCTATTGATGGCAAACTTTGACCTTCGTAGCCACCAAAAAACACCATCAAAAGGATGGCTTTTCCATTGACACCATTATTATTTTAACTACCTCCCATTCTCAACAATTATTATTGTTTTAAAAAGCAATGATTAAAGTTGTAATAAAACTTAAAGATATGATGAAAATTAATTTATACATGTTTTTTTTGTTCTTGAAAATTTACAACAAAAATATTAAACACTATTTATTTATTAGATTGTTTATTCACAAGAATGACTTTATATTTACAACATTCTAAAAATTAATACAATTGTATTAAAACTAATGCAATGCAATATTTATCATTTACCAATTTATAAAGAAATATAAAAACAATTTTTTATTCATAAACTTATAAACATTTACTAAATTATTAAAATATGTGAACCAACTATAAGGAAATCCTTGTTTTACCATTTTATAAAGTTCAAATTTATTGGTAATTAGCCAATGTTTTACCAACTATTTCAATAAACAGTATAATAAATAAATAGTATAAATAAAGAATTTAATAGTGTTTATTATTTTTTGTCAATTTTCAAGAACAAAAAATAATAAACTGAACTCTTATTTTGTGTCCACTAAGTCAGCGAAACCAAATCTTTATCTTTTTGTTTGACTGTATAAAGCAGACATCCAGCTAGAAAAAATTCCTTGCTAGAAGCAGGTCTTATGACCTTTTCACCATAACCTTTTTCTAGTTACTGGAAAATTGACATGTAAAAAAAATGTTTGGTTTTGTGGTCTAAGCAATGGCCACTAAGGGGCCATGTAGGTCTTCATGAAAACACTTGTCATGCCTGTTTTTTTTTTCTTCAATGGATAAACTTATAATCAATTGGATAATTTTGGGAAATGTATGCCCCCCCCCTCCCCTTGGTATTTAAATAAATTTTTTTTCTATAAAAGTAATATTTTGTAAATAAAGTATAATTCACTAAATACATAGTTCAAATCAGTGATCTCTTATTAAGCCTTTCATAGGAATCAATTTGAAATCCTGCTCATAGGGCAGATTATTAGCTAGTTAAAGTTTTGGGATATCTGTTTAATAATATTATGGTTTATATAAACAGTTGTTAATAACAACTGAAATGCAAGGATTATCACTGGACAGTTGCACATATGAGTTAGTATTTACAGCAGCAAATTGATGGTTAGAAAATCTGTTATTTCATCTTGTGTTTGGTGATGCACATTACTACAAATTTGCCTGTAAAATAAAGTTGTAAAATAGTCATGTTACCAATTGTAATATAAATTAAATGCAACATTAATTTAATATGATTCATTGTTAAAAATGCTGGATAAATGGTTGCTCCTTGTGCTGCTCCACAAAATACCTGACCCATTCTGCCATGTTTTATCTTTACAAGAGTCAGATCAGACCAAAAATGAAGTATTGCTGTTATATTCTGGCCAGAGATGCCCAATCATCACTTGTCAGAGTTCAAAATCATTCATGCCTTGGGGGGGGGGGTTTCCAATCCTTCAACCCTTTTCTCATAAATGTAATGTTGCAAGTCTATTACTACTTCTTTGGCAAATGTTCTGAGTTCTATTCTTTAGTGCCACTAGCTAAGACCTTTACAGCCAAAATTTGCCTTGCTATGCCCACAGGATTGAATCACCCTTATTCCCTATGTATTCCTTTAGTAAGAAGGATGTTCCACTTTGGAAGCTTTCTTCCAAGAACCACATGGATGTTTCCCCAAATACTATAATCTTAACCTCTTCAAGTCTAAGGTCACTCATTGTCTATCTACTATATCCTTGTAATCTTAACTTCCTCTTACATTCATATTGCACATCCAATTCATTAATTCTCTACCTTCAGTGGCTCTTGAGCTTTGTATTGAGTGAACTTTTGTAAAACAAAAATAAACAAACTTTGTAGGCTAGTGAACATTACCTTAGTTATAGGACTGTCAAAATACAACTGATTTTGTTGTCAAGTTCTTATTTTGTTTAGAAATGTTGATTGGGGAGAGAATGATGAAATTTCTTTTTCAAACAAACATCACCTTATCTTACCATTTTTGAGCATGTGAAGAAGTTGGCAGGAATCTTTTAATACCTCTTTCTGCTGTTTTTGTTTAATTTTACTGATGCTGGCCACTGTGACTTGCTGGTTATTTTTTTAATGTTTTTATATTTAAAACTGTAGAATATGTATACATAAATAATGTAAAGTGATTGTTTTGCTTGTTTTTCATGGTCATGTACTAGCATGGCCTTGTGGGGCCAAGCCATACAGTTGAATATATTACTTTATATAACTAAGTAAAAAAAAAATATATACATATCTATGTATATAGACCAAACTATAAAATACCTTCAACCTACTCTAAGATGACAATTCATTGAAATGTTTCATGTTTATTGTAGTTATTTGTGATTACATTCAATGTTGATATTTCACCATGTATCATTGACATGGACCACTATGAACTTGGAAGGTCAAGTTAAATATTTTGGAGTAAACTTTGATTTTAAGCAAAGAAAAATTAATTCTGGTTATTGTAAAATCTTTATTTTTCACTTGTTACATTGATGAAAAGTACAATGAAACAAATTTACTATAATTTAATGATATTTTTTTATTATTTACACTATTTACATCATTCAAATTGTTGTCCTCATCTTTATTTCTAGCAATTTATCTGCTCTGGCCAGGTATTGAAAACACAATTCTTTGGATCAAGTCACTTTTTGAATTACTCAACCATTGCTTTTATCCACAGAGGTGAACAAAAACTTGGAGAGATGAGTTACTAAAGGGAATTAACTGAAAGTGAGATATCCAAAAAAGGGATAGCACATGAAATTAGAAAAATCTACGCCATGGATGAAATAAAGGGATCAGTTCAAAATTCCAACATATATCTCCTGAAGAAGGTTGGAGTGTATAACAGCCGAAATTTTGTGAATATGGCAATAAAGATGAGGACAACAGTCCGAATGATGTAAATAGTAAAAAAAAAAAAAAAAAAAAAAATTTTTTGTTTTTTTATTTTATATATATATATATATATATATATATATATATATATATATATTTTTTTTTTTTTTCTTTTCTTTTTTTTTTATTTTTTTCCTTTCTTTTTCCTTTTTTCTTTTCTTTTTCTTTTTTTTTTCCTTTTTTCTTTTCTTTTTTCCTTTTTTTTTTCTTTTTCTTTTTTTTTTTTTTTTTTTTTTTTTTTTTTTTTTTTTTTTTTTTTTTTTTTTTTTTTCTTTTTTTTTTTCTTTTTTTTTTTCTTTTTTTTTTCTTTTTTTCTTTCCTTTTTCCTTTTTTTTTTTTCCTTTTTCCCTTTTCCTTTTTCCTTTTTCCTTTTCCTTTTTCCTTTTTTTCTTTTTTTTCCTTTTTTCTTTTTTGCTTTTCTTTTTTTTTCCTTTTCTTCTTTTCCTTTTTCTTTTTCTTCTTTTCCTTTTTTCTTTTCTTTTCTTTTCTTTTCTTTTCTTTTTTCTTTTCTTTTCTTTTTCTTTTCTTTTCTTTTTTTTTTTTTTCTTTTTTTTTTTTTTTCTTTTTTCTTTTCTTCTTTTTTCTTTTCTTCTTTTTTTCTTTTCTTCTTTTTTCTTTTCTTCTTTTTTCTTTTCTTCTTTTTTTTTCTTTTTTTTTTTTTCTTTTTTTTTTTTCTTTTTTTTTTTTTTTTTTTTTTTTTTTTTTTTTTTTTTTTAATTATATACAAGCAAATAGACTTTCTGGTCTTTACCTTTGAACTGGTTAATCTTTTTAGAGACTTGATTTTAAAATTCTACAATAAGTATTTGTATATTGAATTATTTTCATCATTTATTTAAAATTGATCTTTTCTTTTTGAACCAGGCCTATGCTGCTGGCTGTGATATTGCAATTCTTGCCAGTGACTTCCAAAGGGTACAAGTTATTCCAGGAGTTACCCATGGCAACATCAAAGTTAGCTGTGTGGATTGTTCTACCGATACTGGCAAGGTAAAGAAAGCCATTCTTATATCTAATTCTAGAGATTTTTCTTTTGTATTAATAGGTATCAAAGTCAGTGAGAGAGATTATAATGGATGTTAAAAATGATTTTTAAAATCTGTTTTAACATTTTTTCATTATTCAATTGAAAAGATAATGATAGTCATGTGATCTGATACACTACCAAGTTTGTATTCATATTTAGAGACAATATTAATGTTATATAATAAATAATCTTTGACACTTTTATCTTGTGAATTCTACTCTTTTTATAATAATCATGATTTCAAAATATTTTTCTTTTAGCCTCAAAAAATTGAAGTTCTCAATACTTCAATAAGGCCTACTTGCTGATAGAAATGAAGGAAACTTTGCCTTAATTTCTTTCATACTATTTCTATTCTTTTTTTGTCTTATTTTCTTTTTTATATTTGTTACATGATTTTTTGTTTCCTTTATTTTCTTATCTTTTTCTTCTTTCCTTTATTTTCTTATCTTTTCCTTCTTTCCTTTGTTTTCTTATCTTTTCCTTCTTTCCTTTGTTTTCTTATCTTTTTCTTCTTTCCTTTGTTTTCTTATCTTTTTCTTCTTTCCTTTGTTTTCTTATCTTTTTCTTCTTTCCTTTGTTTTCTTATCTTTTTCTTCTTTCCTTTGTTTTCTTATCTTTTTCTTCTTTCCTTTGTTTTCGTATTTCTTTTCTTTTCTTGTTTCTTACCTCTCCTGGTTTTCTTCAAACCCTTTGGTTTTCTTATTCTTTTTTTCCTACCCTTTTGTTGGTTTTCTTGTCCCTCCTCTGTTTCTTTTTTTTTTTTCACCCCTTGTTTTTCTTCTTTTTTTTTTTTTTTTTTTTTTTTTTCACCCCCTGTTTTTCTTTTTTTCACTCTCACTGTTTTCTTGTCATCCCCCTTGAGTTTGTAATTTCTTTAGCCCACTTAGTTTTCTTTTTTCCCCACAGATGTTTTCTTGTCCCTTCCTCATTAGTTTTCTTGTCCCTTCCTCATTAGTTTTCTTGTCCCTTCCTCATTAGTTTTCTTGTCCCTTCCTCATTAGTTTTCTTGATTCTTCTCCTACCCCATTGATTTTCTTGTTTCTTTTTTTCTTCAGTTTTTCATTTTCTTTTTTTTCTTTCTGCAATTTTTTGTTTGTTTCCTTTTTTCTTTTTTTTTTTTCTTTTTTTTGTGTTTTTTCCATTTCTCTTTTGCTTTTCTTTTAATATTCTTAATTTCTCCACAGGCATATTTAAGCAATATATCATTCTAATACTTGGTTTCATAAATACACTTGAAAATGATACATGCAGACTTTCTTGCTGTAAAAGTTGCAATTTTCTTTTTCAGCAGTGTTAGTTGTTAAGGATCATGATCTTTTGAATATAAAGGCTATTGACTTTTTCAACCTTTCAAGATAACCACCTGTTCATTTGGATATTCATTGATGTTATAAGCTTTTGGAAGTATATTTTCCAATATGTAAATCACTTGTCTAAAGTTGGAATTAATTTTACACTCTCCGGCCAACCTCCTCATAAAACATCACAACAGTTATCAGTTACTTTATTTAAATGTAGGCAAAATAGATGAAGTGTGATTTGGTTATTTTTGCAAATTATATTTTGAATTTTCTATTTCACATTGAAAATTCATTTGTAAAGACGATTTAAATTTTATTTCTTTTACATTGAAATTGTGAGCATTGAATGATTCAAAGTTATAGGTTTATGGTTATATGTTGAAACATTGGCTCTCGTATTGTCACCAAAGTTAAGCAACATCAAGCATGGTCAGTACTAAGATGGTTGACTGCTTGGGAATACCAGATGCTGTGAGAGTTGAATGTGCAGTTGGTATAATAATGGATAATGGCTTGGAATTGAAACTTGGAGAGCCAAGTTCCAATTGCATTTGGGTTTGTTATATTCACTTCTGCACAAATACTATTGGAAAAGGTATGAATCCCCTTTTCTACCCTCCAAGCTATGGGTTAATTAGTAAGACTTGTATCAGTAGATTCTTATCTCCAAAAAGTTCTTACAATTTAAAAATATTTTCTGGCTTTAAATAATCTGCAGAGTTGATAAGCCATAAAAAAAAAGAAAGAAATCAATCAATTAATTCAATTGCCATAAATTTTTCAAGTTTTGTATTATTCAATAATAATTTCATTAATGAATAAAAAAACATCATACACAAATTGCTTTAAATTTTAGACTATAAATCAGAAACCTTTCACTCTTGGGGCATGTTGATAAAATTCTTTATAGCATAAAGGAAAACAGAGGCCAAAAGCCTTTATTTCATGCAGTTCCTCTTGCTGTAAGTGTCATGTGGTGTCTTTAACATTTCAAATTGTTCAGGATTCTACAAAACATAAATGCTATTAATACATTTAATAAGGTTGGAATTATTTTTTAACTCAATACAAGGCCCCTGAGCCACTCAAGGTAGATGCTCACTTAATGAGGTTGTTGCACAATTTTTGAGGATATGTAGGACAGATAACAGTGAACTCTAGACTTGAAAAGGTTAAGATTGTAGTGATCATGAAAGCATTCGCTTGGTAGTCTCTTCCACAAAGTAGCAGAACTTGGGAAGAAGCTGTCTGAATGGTGTTTCTTCTTTACTAATAGAATATGAAGAGAATAAGGATGATTCATTCCAGTGTATGTGGTGTAGCGTATCTTAGCTGTGAAAGTCAGAACTGGTGGAAATAGGGAATGTAACTCAGAACATTTGCTATGGAAATAGCATGGGATTTGTGACTTTTTCAACTGTGAGAAACCAGTTGTAAAGTGGAAAATATTTTTCTTTTATAATTTTGTACTTTACAAATACAAAATGTCAAGTATGATTCTTTGTAAATCTTAAATTATAAAAAAAAAAATTCACTAGGGATCTAAAATATTAGGTACAACCTGTAGTTATCTTTATATGAAGTATTGAACCTGAATGATGAGAACCTTAGCAACTGTTGGCCATTTTCTAAAGCAATCTTCTATCTCTCATGTTTCTCTATAGATTCAGATTATCTATCATTTTCTACCCATTTCACTTTTTGAATAAATATTTCTTTCTCTGAATCCTACCTATCGCTTGCATTTCTCTATAGATTCAAAATATCTACTGTTTTCTACCTGTTTCATTTTTCAGATAGATATTACTTTCTCTGAATCCTCCCTATGACTTTATAAATGCAGTTGGACTCTTTGGGTATTTGGTCTAAAATCTATTCTATAGATTCATAGAAGCATTTGTAATTAAAGAAAGGTATTTGTTTTATTGTAGCCAAAATACTTTGATTAAATCATTTTGAAGACAGCATTATTTTTTAATGAAATAAATGTTTATGCAGGCACAACAATTTGGATGAGTTGGCCTTATTTTGTGTGTGTGTATATATATATATATATATATATATATATATATATATATATAGATAGATAGATATCTTCATTTAAATGTTAATAATGTCTATTATAAGCAATTTGATAATTTATTTAAAAATCATCAGTTCCTTATAAAACTCCATTAAGTACCTGGCTCCTCCCATGATGCTCTACCTTTACATGAACCAGATCTGGCTGCAAATGGAGTACTGCTGTCATATCTGGGTTGGAGTCTTGATAGTCCAAAATCATTTACATGGCCTTGTGGGTGAGGAATTATTTTCCACCTTACAGCCCCTTTCCTACAGACGAAAGTCTGTTGCTACTCTGCCACTATTTCCATAGAAAATATTCAGATGAGCGAGATTTCTTTGTTTCCCCAACTCTAACCCACCCAATTAAGGCTTGCCATGCCACATACTTTGAACCAACCTCATTCTCTTCATATTCTATTAGTAAGAAGTAAGTTCCATTTGGATAGCTTTTTCCCCCAAGAACTGTTGTTTTGTACAAACAGAATCCCATAAGGCTGCTTACCTGCTCTCTTCAGGCTTAACTTCTTCAAGTTTAGGGTTAACTATTATCTTTTACACATGTCCTCGTAAACTGTGGCCCTTGCTCTTACTGCTCACATGACACCTGCCTTTAGTAACTCTATACTATAAGTAGCCCTTGGACCTTGTGTAAAGTGAGCATTGCTAAAAAAATTCCTAATGTAGAATTTTCATTAAAATTAAAGACAAAATTGATTCAAACTATTGTAATAAGTAAAAAGAATATTACTTTTGTTTATGCTCTTGTTATATATCAAATAAGTAATCTACCAGCAAGACATTGAGCAGTTTGATAATACTGACATATGTTGCTTATTCATTTTAACATTATTTATGCATTAAAATGAATAATTGCATCCAAAACTAATAATCTCAAATGACTATCAATTTTGATATGTAGAGAACATGTGAATATAAAATTAATATAAATTATTGACTTCATCTTGACCCTTGCTTTTATTTACATCTATTATAGTATGCTATCATTCAATCTATGTTTGAATCTATAAATGAATAGACGTTAGTAACAGAAGCAGCATTTAACAGACAAAAAAAATCCATGCACAATTATGTTGAATGCTGTAAGGTGATTTTGGCAGGAATATGTTGCACATATATCTTGAGCCTTCTTGACTTGTGTGAAAATAACCCTTAAAAATATATTTCTGGAACATAGAAAAAGTAGGTTCTTTCTGACTTTGAATGTTTACATGTTGATTTTGAAGAACAGAAGTGTGTGTGTCTGTTTAGGATATCTTGTCTCAGGGCTTAGCATTCTTTTAAGAAGGACCTAAACCTGAAGTGAAAAGGTCAACACAATCATGGTAGAAACAGATATATAAAATTTACAATGATTTTCACTCTGTACAAGGCCCAAGAGCTACTCAAGGTAGAAAGTTACAGAGTAAGAGGTACAGTTTATAGAGATATGTGGGAAAGATAACAGTTAGCCCTCAACTTAAACAGGTTAAGATTGTAGTGATCAAGAAAGCATCCTCTTGGGAGTTGGTTCCATAAGCTGCAGTTTGTGGCAAGGAGCTGTCCGAGTGGAACTTACATCTTATCAAAGGAATTCAAAGGGAATGAACATGGCTCACTACAATATGTATGGCATGGCAGTCTTATCTATGAAGGTTAGAACTGATAGAACTAAGGAATGTAATTCATCTAATACTTTCTATGGAAACAGCATCAGAGCAGCAAGAGGCTTGCAATCTCATCTGTGAGAAAGGGGTTGTTGGGTAGAAAATAATTATTCACCCACAATGATGCAGAGATGCTGGAAAGTCTATACTGGACAGCTCCTGCCTATATATGGCAGCACTATTACATTTTTGGCCTGATCTGGCTATTGTAAAGGTGGAATCAGATACTTACTGGAATAGCGGAGGGAACCAACCATTTTTTTTTTTTTTTAATATCTTAGTGATGGATTGTTTGTGCAAGTTTCAGTTGTGATCTGGGTTGAGAGAACAGTCATTCACCGATGATGATGATTGGTTTTGAAGGCAATGAATTTAATCAACCGAACTGTTTAAGCTAGTCAGAAGAGAGATCTGCTGCCAGGCTCTGGTCATCTAGAATTTTGGAAGTGCACCCATATCCTGTTCATCATCAGCATAGATATTCACAAATGATCTTTATATATATATATATATATATATATATATATATATATATATATATATATATATATATAACACACATATATTTCCATGTATAAGACTACCTCTAAATTCCAAAAATCACCCTTAAAAATTGGGGGTCGTCTTGTTCTAAAAAAGAAACCTTGAAATCTGAGTAATGTTTGTTGGTAGGCTAATCTCGTCCACAGGGCAATAACCAATGACGTATATGAAAAGATTCACATCATAATAAAATAATAAAATAAGATAATAAAAGTAATAAAACCATTTCTACCTTGTATATTACTGGCATAAATTCATAATGAATTGCCTATTTGAAGAATAATTCCATATCGATGAAATCAACTTGTATCCATGAAGGCTGAGCTGAGAAAATGTAAATATTGAGTTATGATTATGAATAAAAAAAAGGTTGAAAGTGGAAGGTAATACTATCATACATTGTTGTACTATTATTAGTGGTATTTTGTGATTGTCTATGAAGTATAAGTAAATGGCCATTAGTACACCAAGCTGTTTGTAACTGTTTAGATATAGGAAAAGAATAATAATAATCAGTATTCTCAAGAGATTGTGATGAAACGTAAACAAAACAATAATTTCCCTTTTAAGAAAAACATCATATAGAATTGGTTTTGTTATTTCATTTATTTTTGAAATTCTAAGGATACAGTAAGTAACAACATTTCCAATAACATTATCTTTATATAATCAATAAGCAGTCATCTTATTCTGCAGGTATAGGATAAATTAATGAAAATTAGGTATATTTTTTGACCTCATCTTATCTAAAGGTCGCATTATGCACAAAAATATGCAGTATGTGTGATTGGTGTTGGTGCAGTAGTACAGCATTGATTGAGGAGGGTCATAAATCTGTCTTGGATGTAATCCAGGGTAACACTGTGTTATGGTAACAAAGCGTCTCAATTATGCTTAGAATATTCTGTAAGATGTTTGATTTAGTGTTTTGCCAATGAGAAAACTTCAGCAGAAAATTTATTTATTTACTGCTTTAAACTTTTATTTAATTGCTGCTTTGGGCATTAAAATGTCTAGCAAAAGTTTGCTTCTTTGTTTAATGTTTTCTTTTGGATATGCACATGGCATTGTGGTTATTAGCATAGAAAATGGGCTTGTCTAGGTCAAAAGCCAAGATTGTTTGTGTTTACTTTTACCTATTTACCCTTGGAAAAGATACAAATTAATTTATTCCGCCCCCCTCCCTCTATGGGCTAAATTGCAGTGTAGACTGGTCTCTCTAGCCTAGGTTGCAATCAATCTCTGAATTCAAAACCAGTTGGGTATTGGGCTGGCAGCTCTACATTGTAAAACAGGATGGTGAGGCTGTAGACCTATACTCCACAGAAAATAAGAACTCCTCTCTCTTCCTGCTACCCCCTCTCTCCTCCTTTCTCTTGTGCTCTTTCCCTTGCTCTCTCTTCTCTCAATCTCCCCTATCTATTGACTTCACCCTATCTTTATCTATTGTCCCTCTCTAACCCTATCTCTTGAGCATCCCCACACCTAATAGCAAAATATAAGATTACATCCTTTGATTGCTGAATATTTCAAAATAAATTGTTGACTTTATTGACTCAGCTTTGTTGTTGATATGCTTTTTAATTGTATAAGACAGCTTAATTAAAATTTTTATATGCAATTTATGACTTATTATATTACTAATTGTATTTGCTTGTATTTAATTAAATGTAGATGTCAAAAGGAATTGTGCCTTATATTTCAGAGTCTTTTGGGACCCATTTGAGTAAATTGACTCTTTAAATCACATGGGATGGGTTAAATGCATTTTCAAAATGTCCGAAAATACTTTAACACTTGGCACTAAGCCTTGTAAGTGAGTGTGTGCATGCATGCACGCACACACACACACACACACACACTATGCAGTGTTTATTCCTAGGTCCATATAATCTGCGTCTACAAATGCTCTATTTCTGATATTGAGTATTCCTCCCCTGTAAGTGTTGCAAAATTAAGATATATGTATATATCAAGAACAGTTTTGGAGGAAAGATGTATGACAAAGTGTAAAAGGTTTTTGTGTGACGCATTTTGTCCCTTAGGACTTCATTAAACTGTTTGTTTATGTTGATATGACTCCATATGTAGATGAGCAAGAGATGCTGGGAATTTTAAATTTACAAAAAAATTTATTTTTTAAAATTTTTTTTATGTGTTTTGGGTATATAATCTAGCCAATTTCATTTAGATTTGTTTTCTTTCCATCATCTTTGTTAATATTCCATATTGTGATAACAGATCTGCCAAGAATGGTGAAGCATTGTAAGAACCTGGATGCAAATTTACTGAACTAGCAATTAAAGCACTGCCTAAACATTTTTGTCTTAGTAAATTATATTCTCTTTTAATTAGTGTAGCAGTTTTTATGCCAAAATTGTGGTCAGTCTCGTTATGGTATGCAACTAATGCGTTTAATGTGTTGCTTTTTTAAAATGTCTCTTTTGTGTTTATATAATTTTTTATATAAACTTCTTGAGGTTTCTCCAGCATATTCCTTCTGGCAATCCTTGCAGGTGATAAAGTATATTCCTCCAAGTTTTTGCTTGTTTTGTATTTTTTTTTTTTTTTTTTTTTTTTTTTTCTACATTTAAAATTTCATTTGTGAGCATATTTAGTCATATCAACATAAACAAACTTGAGGGACAAAACGCGTCACATAAAAACTTTTTTCACTTTGTCATATGTGTTTCCTCCATATATATATATATATATATATATATATATATATATATATATGCTGAAAAATTCTTGCCTTGTCTATTTCCTTACATCAGTATTTAGATGGCCAAATATCAGAATAATGATTTTGGGAAGTGGGTCAGATGGAGAAATTTTAACCATCCCCTCATGTTGTCACACACACATATAATATTAAAGGTTGTCCTTTGGGTCTGAAGAAAACTTTGTTTTACAATTTATCAGTGGATCTGGATGAATTTTCAAGACAAACATGTTTGGGAAGAATTTGTAGTGGACAAATCATTGCGCTGGGATAAGCCCACTATCTTGATGTGGAGAGTCTTTATCCAGTGGCACAAGGAATTGTTGTGTAGGAAATCTCATCTGCTCACTCTGTCTGAAATCAGTCCCACAGACCTAAAATTATTTCGGGTTTGAACCCATAGACTACCCTCACCTAGTTTGCATATGAGTTGAAGCACACTACCAAAACTTTGTGGGATATGAAAAATCTTAAAACCAATTAAAATTGGTAAAATCTGATTGCAAAAACTTCTAAGTAAAAATAAAAAAAATTCTAGCATTTCTCTGATTAACATGAATCCCATTGTGTCTTGCCAATGGAGATATGGTTGAAATAAAATCCATTTTCCTGATAATGCTGTTTGGCCAGCAAAGCATGTCAAAAGTAGTTTTCCAAATTGTATTATTTCTTTGGCATTCTGTTAGATTCTAAATTTGAATCATCTCACCAAATGTCAAGGTATTCATTACGTTTCTTAGTAAATTATCTTTTTTTCATCATCCATTTATTCCTACTATCTTTTCAATATAAAGTATAGTAAATGTTTGAATTATTGTGTTAGAAACAATGTTCCACATATAACTTTTAATAGAAATATATATATATAAAGTTGTGCGAGAACTTTGTTTCCAATCCAGTATTACAAAATCTTTACTGAAGTAATTCTGCCTCAATTGATGTTTCACAATTAATGCTACTTTAGCTTATTTTCTCTGTTTAATTGCTTCATCTATAACTGTTGTACTTCAGACATTTTCATTGACATGTTTTATTTCCAGTTCTATTTGTGCATTTAATTGAAAGTATATTTAAATAACACAGGCATTAAAGGGACGAAGAAGATAAGTGCCTATATTTGGTTAACCTTCCATTAACTTGCAATGGAATTTCATACATATGGATATAACCAAAATAGAAAGTATATTATTGGATCTTAACAGAAATTGTGTTTTGCCTTCAATGATATTTTTAGTTATAATTTTCTTTTTCTTTAGTGTTATTATTTTGTATTTAATGTTCATTAGTCTTGATTTTTGATCATACAAAAACTGTTATAACTTTGAGTTTGTTTTTACATTAATAACAATATTTACATTATTTACCTGCAGGCTATTGGCCTCATCTTTTTTTTGTTATTATTACAACATTTCAGCTGTTGTTTACTCTAGCCTTTATCAGATGCCAGCTGATCTGGGTAACCTTCAGGGAATTTCAAAATGAACCCTTTATCTAATCTACAAATTGTTCTAATTCCTCTGAAATCTAGTTCTTGTTTAGTACTACTCAGTTATTGCTTGCCTTGTTTCCACTGAGTCTAATTGCACTTGATGAAGGCTATAAAGCCCAACAGATGAAATGTGATTGTTAACAAACATTACTCATGTGATATGAAACAAAAGGGAAACATACATTTGTTGTCATTGTATAGCAATACAAAAACCTTTCCATGTCCAGTTGACTAAGATCAGATCAAGTATATTAATACCAACTCATAGAAAACAAAGCAAATTTCAATACTGATTTCAAAAACCTTAAATGTACACTTTAAAAATGAAATAGGTACATTTAAATGAAATATCCTAGTTTAGTTTATAAATTGTCATCTGTATTTTGAAGTTAAAATATGGGTAACTTAACCCAATAATCTTTTTTTAGCAACTTTTTCATCCAATAAAAGGCCCATGAGCTACTCAATATAGAGCATTAATAATTGAGCTGGTTGTATGTAAGAGGAGGACGGAAAGAGTGTAATTTAAGAAAATATGTAAGAAAGATCTTGGTTAACCTTAGGCTTAAAGAGATTAATATTGTAGTGATTAGGGAAGCATCCTCTTGGGAGTTACCTTGACTTAACCTCTTTTCGAAAGTAACTAATATGTTGATACAATAGTTGTCAGTGAAAATGTAAACCCTACTGTCCCTTATTAAAATGATTGTTTTTCTCCGTTTCCATAGAAATTAATGTTGCAAAAGTATATGCTTATAAAGCTTCATAAATTTCAAAATTTGTTATCCTGAAATTCGCTTGAGGATGAAACCAAACTAGGTACTTTAATTTCTGTAATTAAATTGAAGTTTTTTAGCTTCAGTTTTTGAAACATGAGAACTCTTATGTAGTGATGGAATCATATTTTTAAAAAATAATTATATATTAAAAAGTAGAAGACATAAACGACTTATATATATATATATATATATATATATATATATATATATATATATATATATATATATATATGAATTAAAAAGTAGAAGACATAAACAACTATATAATGTACATATATTTAAATTAAAAATAGTAGAAAATATAAACTACTATGTGATATATATATATATATATATATATATATATATAATACCAATTGGTAAGGATAATACCAAGGAGGACATTAATCCAAAGAGAGCTCAATGTAAGTAACAAAACAATATAAAAAAAATATTGAAATTTTTCTTTTTCTTTATTCCTTTTTTATTATGAAAATTTTTCTTTTTGCTTTTTCTTCCTTTTTTCCTCTCCCTTTTCCTTTTGTCTGGACAAATTGATTTCATTTTTAAAAAAAACCTTCTGTATGAAGAGATGAATATTTAAATAAATATACTCATGAAATATAAACAAAATGGATTTTTAAGGATTGATTTTACTTATTATTATTATTATTATTATATATAAATATATATATATATATATACACACACACAAACACATAAAACAGTTTGTTAAACTTTTATTTTGATGTTTTGTTGATAAATTGTCATCATTTATTGAAATAAACTGAGTTTTTATGAAAACACCAACTGATCAGTGAAACATGCCAAAATAAAAGTTTTCAAAATTATCTTGTAAATTTACCATGCCATCAGATTCTCATTCAAAATTTATTCACATAGTACTGGAAAATGTTTTGTATTTTTTTTTTTTTTTTATAAAGATTGTCTCTAACAATTCACAGCTTCAGAAGAATTTTCAATAAAACAAAAAATCTATGTAGAATCGTGACTTCCTCTGAAAATGATCAAAATTAGTTGACTTTTTTTTTTTTTTTTTTTTGTCATATCTGTAATACATATACTATGAATAAAGTATGTAGTACAGGAAGCTTGTAAATTATCAAGATTTTAATTAAAAATTCCTAATACAGATCATTTGCATTTTTGGTATTGTTCAAAGCTCAACCTTATCAGTTCAAAATATTTTCAGTTGAAACGTTTATCAGGAGCTTTGTCAGTTATTTGAAAGACTATTGCCATGACTTGCTGTGTAAAGCAAATAGATGAAAGGATTATTGATTTAGTAACATTTGTTTATCAATTTATAGATTCTTTGAATAATTTTTCTTTATATTCACAGCCTCAGAGTTCAAGGTGATTTATTTATTTTTTTTTTTTCTGCATTCTTCATTTTAAAATATCTTCCTGTTCAACATGGTGTGCTAATTTATCAGATACTTTTTGAGCTCTGCATTACTTTAATATATTCTATTCTTAT